TGCCTGTCAGAGGAAGGTTTAGCTGATGCTACCGGAACCTCAGTCAGAACACAATATTATTGTAATAGCTACATTTACACTGGGCTGCTGAATGCCAGGAGGCGCTCTGGCTGAGTGCTCTGGTGCCACGCAGCTCTGGGAGCTGCTCCGGTGACTCTCACTGTCCCCTTTTCACAGATGAGGGAGCTGGGCTGCATGGGGCTCATGCTCAAGATCACGTGGCAGTGGAGAGACTTGGGTCCAAGCCCTCACCCAGTGTGTCACGCTGCTTCCCCTGCAGGTCTCACCTGTGCATCTCAGGCTCAGATCGGTACTCTCAGGCCAGTCTCTACACAAGGGTCAGATTTCACTTCCTCCATTATTGCCGGGTGAGTGAGGCCCTGCTCTCAAAGCTGTCAGACCTGGTGGGGCAGCTGCGACTAGCAGAAACACTGAGATGTTGAGATGCTAATTAATTCCCTTCTGACTAATTTCTGAGATGCTTAGTCCCTAGTTCAGGCATGGCAGCAGCAAGTTTTCAGATAAAGATCTCTTGTGGCTGTCATGCCGACTGCCGGCAATGTGAGAGAAAGAGTGCTGGTGGACGGCCCATCTGGACGGCGGCAGAGCAGCAGGTGGGTGTTCAGACCCAGCTGACAGGCCAAGAGAACTGTTCAGAGGCATTTTCCCAAATCCCACTCTTGGGGTTATCCTGCAGTATTGGTCCTTTCTTCAGGAGGCCCGATTCCAAATCAAATCATTATGTATCAAATATCACTGCCACCTGCCCACTCTTTAAATGTCCGTATCGCCTCTGTGGTTGCGGTGGAAAAGGAGGGCTTGGAGAAGGGAAAGGGCACATCAATCTCAGTTGTTGCATTTGGTGCCAGGTACAACAAGAACCAAGGGCATTTGAGCCCAGACGACCTTGGTAACTTGATCTCTCACATTCCATGTATTCCAGCCAAAGAAATAAACACTGGAGTGTAACATCTAAGAGATGTTGAACGCTTTTGCTTTTATGGAATGCTTCCACATGACCTGAGTCTCATCACAGATTTCACAGGTGAAGAAGCTGAGCTTCAGGGAGGGTAAGCAATTCCTCTAAGGTTCTCCACTTCGTACTTGGCACAGCCAAGATGGGGACCTGGATCTTGGGGAGGCCCCAGAGTGTAGCAAGGACTTTGGTATTCTGTGGACCTCTGCCACTAACCAGTTTTGTGGTCTTCACTAGGACTCACTTTCTTTAGCTTTTAAATGGCAATAGTCAGGATGTGGCCTCATCAGGATGTTATGAGGGTAGAGGGCGTGATGCATAATAAGAGCTTAGCAGAGTACCTGGCACAGAGGATAACCAGGAAGCGCTAGCTGTTAGTACTAGTCCAGTTAGAAACTAATCTGGCTGCAGTTAATGCAACAATAAAACAATGGTTGACTTGAACAAATGATAGTTATGTTTCATGCACAATAAGAAGTCAGAAGGCAGGCAGTCCCAGGCCACCCAGGAGCAGAAGGCTGTTTGCCTTCCGTCAGTCCATTCTGCTCTCCACAGAACACTGGTTTGCTGCCTCATGGGGGCAAGATGGCCGTCGCAGCTCCATCCACCCTTGTGGGGAAGAGGTGCAGTAGCCGTCCTATTTTCCCCCTTTGTAAAGAAAGCAAGAGCTTTCCCAGACCCCCACCTCAGTATGCAAACACAGCAGACACCTGCTTTTGTCTTTTTGGCCTGGACTAAGTGCCCTGGCTGTCCACAGCTGTAAGGGACACTTGGAAAATGACCAGTAGCTTTTTAGATTCAGTGGTACAACTGGCAAGGAAGAAGGCAAATGAGAATGGGCGTAGACCGACCATTGGATTGACCACAGCCCTTCCCGCCTCTCACATCGTTACTTAAAAAAATTCTCATTGGTACTCAGGTGCATAGGGCTTAGTTCATCCTAGTCATGTGCTTGCTTGTGGCACGTGAGTGGCAAAGTTCCTATTCTAGACTGACTGCCTTTCCGTCTCACAAGTATGTGCTGTTTCATGTACGTGCATCTCTTAACTTTTTAAATGAAACATAATACAGGTACACTAAAGTGCACAAGTCTTTGATAGGCAGTTCAAAGGATTTTTATGATTTATCCCCATGAAAGTACATTCAAATCAAGCTGTAGAACATTCCCAGCATCTCAGAAGCCTTTCTGTTTCTCCACCCTCTGTTAGTACTCCCTCCCAAAGGTAACCATTATTCTGATCTCTATCCCCATAGGTCAGTTTTGCCTGTTCTTGGATTTCATTGAAATGGACTCATACATTTGTATGTGCACTCATGGGCCTGACTTATTTGGCTCACCTGTGGGAGTCATCTGTGTCACTCTGTGTGGTTGTAGTTCATCTGCTTTCTCCCATACTTTGTCTCTCTTCAAAGACCTGTGATTAGTAGCATTGTGAGAACCAGAGTAGCACCGAGATGGAAGTTTCCTGTTTCCATTCATGGAGTGTCTTTTCCTCCTAGAAATCACCCCCTCTGGTTTCTTGCAAAGCTTGCCTGTGCACTGCCCTCTCTGGCACCAAGCTGCTGTCAAAGGAATCTCTTGGGGACTTGTATGTTGGCTTTGAATGCTGTCAGCGTCAAATAATTTTCTTGAGCACTTCTTCACTTGGAGAGGATGGAAGAAGAGAGTTAGTGAGGGATGCTTTTGGGAAGGACATTTTTAGGCAAAGGAAAAAACAGCAACTGAAGGCGTTATTGGGAGCTGGCACCTGGAAGCCAGCCTTCTGAGCAGAGATTTATCATTCTTCTGTGTTCCTCCCCTTCGAGCAGTCTCAATTCGGGGCTCAAGGGCAAAAAAGACGCACAGCAGCTCTGCCTGTCTTGGGGCTGGGCAACCTAGTTTGAGTTTAGACTGACTCTTGAGAAGTCTTCCTTCCCCAGACAGTGGGTGATGGGCTTTCCTTATCAAAGCTAGTGTGGCTTTCTTACGAAAACATTGCACTGCAGGGCTAACTTGAGGGTGGTAAAAAAAGCTGATTCTTTTCAGGAGAGTCTTAAATGAAGATGAAATGGATTAGTTATTCTTACAAGTGTGGGCATGTAGGTAAGTCAGGGATCAAGTAGAAAAATGAAAAGTATGCAGCTAGCTCTGATGGTCTTCATCAACATCTTTCCTTTAGGTATCTGCTGATTCTGCGCCTTGCGTCTGCTGGGATAATGCCCCAGAATATTCATCTAAGACTTAAGCAGGGATCCTGTGTGCTAAAATGGAATATTTTATTAAGTTTATTAGGTAATTTCTGTATCCCTGACCCTTGCTAGGGACTTGGCAATTTATTATATCAGTTATTTTCCACAGGGTCTGGAAAGGTGGCCAGGATTATTCCCATTTTGCAAGCGAGTAAATGAGTTAGAGACTTTAAGTAACCTGCTAGTAAGTAACAGGTGGAGTAAGAAGTAAGGCTGATAGTCTGAACTAGGTCTCATATTCCAGAGGCTATGCAGCTTCTGCACCGCCACGCTACCTTTTAAAATAACCCCTTGCCTTTCTAACACACCAGCCGTCTCATGGTTCCTTGACTTCCCTCGCCTCAACACAGTGCTCCTCAGTGTTGATCCAGTGAGTGGCTGGTTTTAGAACAGCTGAAAGCTGCACATACCTCCTCACCTGTTTTTATTTTAGCTAGCTGTTGAAGCTACACTGTAACACTGCACAAATCTTTACTAGATGGCTCAAAGGATCTGTTATATTTTATTTAAAATATTTAAAACTTTAAGTAAAGTTTAAATTTTGTAAAATATGTGAAACCATACAGCATAGTAGAAAAGACTTTCATGGATAATAAGGAGTCACTGGTTTTCGTCCTAATGTCACTAGAAATCAAAACAAGGCATAAGGCTGGGCATGGTGGCTCATACCTATAATCCCAACACTTTGGGAGGCTGAGGCAGGTGGATCGCTTGAGCTCAGGAGTTCGAGACCAGCCTGGCCAACATGGCGAAACCCCATCTCTAGAAAAAATACAAAAATTAGCAGAGTATGGTGGAAGGCTCCTGTAATTCTAGCTACTTGAGAGGCTGAGGAAGGAGGATAATTTGAGCTCAGGAGGCAGAGGTTGCAGTGAGCCAAGATTGCACCATTGCACTCCAACCTGGGTGAAGGGAGTGAAACCCTTACTCAAGGGAAAAAAAAAAAAATGGCGTAAGACATTGAGTGGACCATGTCTGTCCAATCTTTTGGCTTCCCTGGGCCACACTGGAAGAAGAAGAATTGTGTTGGGCCATATATAAAATACACTAACGATAGCTGATAAGCTGAGAAACATTGCCAAAAAAATCTCATAATGTTTTAAGAAGTTTACAAATTTGTGTTGGGCCACATTCAAAGCCGTCTTGGGCTACGTGTGGCCCACAGGCTGCGGGTTGGACAAACTTAGTGTAGACCTAATGTCTGTGTGCCTCAGTTTACCTCATGTGAAATGAGGAAGTTGAAGTATGTGATTATTGATGTCCCCACCTGTTCCAAAAACATGAGCTTCTTTGACCTTTCTGATTTTGTTTTTGTGATTCTAATATGGTTGGAAAGTACAAATATTAAAAGAGACTTAATTGCTCAATGTAAATCCAGAGAAGTAGATACCATTGGGGCTTTCAGAATTTCTTGAAATACATGCAAGTTCTTTACTTTTCCAAGTAAAGCTGCATTTTCCATTGCATTTCCGAGTCCGTCATCAAAAAAGAGTATATGTTCTTAGATAATTCATAGTGGAGCTTGGATCCCTTGAGGGTCTGGTAGGCTTTAATTTTGGATAAATTGATGTAAAATATTTGCCAGTAGCCAACTTCACATTTCCAACCCAAATGTAAATCCCTCCTTATTCAGTAGATGAGCATGTAATACAAACTGTTCTAAATTATACGTGGTACTATTGAATAGACTCAGGATGATATTGAGCAACTTTGAAAATAAGAAAGAAAATGCTATTATGGCCTAATTACTTAAGAATGTGCTATATTTAAAAAAATGGTTACTGAATCATTTTAGACCCAGTAAAGACAAAACTGGCCACACAAGTAACTCAGGAGCATCTGTTATCAAGCAAGGACTCAATCCGGAGAAGATCTTCATGCAAGTCCATTATTTAAAGGTAAGCGCATCTCAGTGGCAGAAGCCAGTTACTGTGGTGCAGCGTTTTTTAGGCTCTACAATTAAAGAATACTAAAAAGTAACATGACTGAGGCAAAAATATTATAATGACATCTGACTGGCCAGATAATCTGAGTGTTCAGTAATTAAAGCACTTCATACCCAAAAAAGGATACCATGTTAGGAAAGACTGAATGAAAGAAAGCTGAAATATTCCCAGCCCTGTACCTCTGTTCTCCCCGCTTGAGGACCAGAACTCTCACACGGCTGTCAGGTTCCTACCAAAAGACATGGGTGAGAAGAAATCTGTTCCATTGTAAAGGCCTTTATTGGTAGCTGGAGCAGGGAAGAGCTGGGTCTCTCTTCATCTGCGATGGCCATCCAGGCTTCAGGTGAACCAAGTCTAAACAGCAATGATGATGGCGTTAACAAAGGAGCTGAGAAGTAATTAATTTCCGTGCCAAGCCTTCCTTGTGAAAATGTAAAGGGCAGCCGGGGATGGGGTAGGACAGCACCTTCTGATGTGCCAGTGCACTGTGGGTTAGTTTGGGATGACTAAGCATTTTTTGATGAACTCATGGCAGGCCTCTTTCTCTCTCTCTTTTTTCTTTCTTCCAGGGCTACTTCCTTCTTCGGTTTCTTGCCAAAAGATTTGGAGACGAAACCTATTTTTCGTTTTTAAGAAAATTTGTGCACACATTTCACGGACAGCTGATTCTTTCCCAGGTAATTTACGGGTCCTCATGAGTCCATGAGATACGATTGGAGGGGGTATGGCACGTGAAGATTAGATTATGTCAGTATTAGAGAGTAGGGAAAAGATTTCCCACTTAATGCAGTGGGAAAAATAGGAAGTTAATGAAATAGACACAGAGAAAGCGTTGCTTCAGGGAGGGGGATCTCTCTGTAGTTCTGAGATAAACGGTAACCCGAAGCTGTCTCATACACAGTAATGTGGATAGTTTAAGTGACCTTAAAAACAAAAATAAAACAGTCCTGCTGTTCCCTTTCCCTGGACTTATCTTTGCAAGATTGCCTCCTTCTTACCTTCTGGTCTTAGTTTGAATGCCACAGCCTCCAAGTCACCTGGCTAAACAGATGTGCATCCAGGCCAACATGTCCCACCCCTTTGCCCTTTCCATTGCCTTGCCATTGTCTGTAATTACGTTTTCATTATGGGACTATTTGTTTCTTTTCTCTCTCCTTCACTCTATGTATATGCCCAACAAGGCCAGACTATACTGTTTTACCAGTGCTTAGCACATGATTGGCACACAGTAGGTACTCCATAAATATTTGATCAATAGATTAATAACAAGATACACTGAAATATGCAGACAGCCTGGCCACAAAACTATCAGAGACCCTGTCAGCTCGTACGGGTATGGGCCAAGCAGTACACAGCAAGGAAGTTAATGAAGAGTGGGAGGCCCTGAAAATGACACTCATAACTGATAGAAAATAGGTGATGCATCCTTAGCATAGATTGGACTAAGAGATCTTTTCCCTACTTGAAATTGTGCTCATATACAGCTATGAGTCACATTATCTACAATGTTAGATGTAAAGGATGTGCACGTGTAATTTGAACAGAGATGGAAGAATAACATGAGCGTAACAAGACCGGATGTCTGTTCCTCTGTGTTCTTTTTATTTTTGTATTGGGTGTGGGGAAAATCCTTCCTAAGCATATATTTGGAAAGGCAATTTGAAAACTGGTTCAGAAGTCTTACAGGCTTGGTTGACTGATTGGTCCAAATTCCTACTGCTTGAACCACTTCTCACCAAGAGTCTGCAGCAGTGTTAAATAAGTGCATCGTATTTATGATGACTTTGGAGGTTCTGATTATCACTTCCTGTGGAACTCTTACTGCTCTCTTAACCAAACTGTTTAGTTTTTCATTTGCTTCTCTCTCTCTCTTTTTTTTTTTTTTTTTTTGAGACAGATTCTCATTCTGTCACCTATGCTGGAGTGCAATGGTGCAATCTCGGCCCACTGCGACCTCCACCTCCTGGGTTCAAGTGATTCTCCCACCTCAGCCTCCCGAGTAGCTGGGATTACAGGCATGTGCCACCACACCCTGCTAATTTTTGTATTTTTAGTAGAGATGGGGTTTTACTATGTTGGCCAGGCTGGTCTCAAACTCCTGACCTCAGGTGAACTGCCCACCTTGGCACCCCAAAATCCTGGGATTACAGGTGTGAGCCACCATGGCTGGCCTGTTTATCTCTTTTGAATGATTACATTGTTGTTTTTTCAGAGCAACTTCATTGAGATAAAATTCATATACCATCAAGTTAACCCTTTGAACATCTACAAGTCGGGGGTTTTTGGTATATTCACGAGGTTTTTCAACCATCATCATTATCTAATTTTAGTACATAGTCACCAAACCCAGAAGAAATCATTAGCAGTCATTTCCCCATTTTTCCTGCCAGCCCTACCTAACCACCAATCTGCTTTCTGTCTCTGTGGATTTGCCTATTCTGGACATTTCATGTAAAAGAATCATATGCTGGCCAGGCGCAGTGGCTCATGCCTGTAATCCCAGCACTTTGGGAGGCCGAAGTGGGTGGATCACAAAGTCAGGAGATCGAGATCATCCTGGCTAACATGGTGAAATCTCGTCTTTACTAAAAATACAAAAAAATTAGCCAGGCATGGTAGCAGGCGCCTGTAGCCCCAGCTACTTGGGAGGCTGAGGCAGGAGAATCACTGGAACTCGGGAGCTGGAGGTTGCAGTGAGCTGAGATTGCACCAGTGCATTCTAGCCTGAGCAGCAGAGCTTTCTTTTTTTTGTTGTTTGAGACAGAGCCTCACCCTGTCACCCCAGCTGGAGTGCAGTGGCATGATCTCGGCTCACTGCAATCTCTGCCTCCCAGATTCAGGTGATTCTCCTGCCTCAGCCTCCCGAGTAGCTGCGACTACAGGCATGCCCCACAATGCCTGGCTAATTGTTTTCATCTTTAGTAGAGACAGGGTTTCACCATGTTGGCCACGCTGGTCTCGAATCTGCCCAACTTGGCCTCCCAATGCATCTGGCTTTCTTAACACAATGTTTTCAGGGTTCCTGTAACATGTATCAGTACTTTATTCCCTTTTTATTTTCATTTTTATTTAATCGTGATAAAATAAACATAAAACTCTACCATTTTAGCCATTTTTAAGTTCACAGTTCAGTGGCATTAAGCACATTCACATTTTTGTGCAATCATTACCACCATCCGTCTCTCGCACTGTTGGTATTTCATCATGATAACCCTCCATTCCTTCCTCCCTCAGCCCCAGCAACCACCATTCCACTTTCCATCTCTATGAATTTGACTCCTCTAGGTACCTCATGTAAGGGGACCCACATAGTCCTTTTGTATGTGGCTTACTTTACTTAGCATAATGTCTTCAGAGGTCAACCCTGTAGCAGCGTGTCCCAGAATTTCCTCCTGTCTTAAGGCTGAATCTCCGTTGTGTGTATATACCACATTTTGTTTACCCATTAATTCTTTCCTGAACATTTGCATTTTTTCCATCTTTTGGCTGTTGTGAATAATGCTACTATGAACGTTAGTGTGTAAAATATCTGTTCAAGTCCCTGCTTTCAGTTATTTTCAGTATATACCCAGAAGTGGAATTGCTGGGTTATACAATAATTCTATGTTTAGCTTTTTGAAGAATTGCCATACTATTTCCACATTGACTGCGACATTTTACATTCCCGCCAGAAGTGCACAAGGGTTCCAGTTTCTTCACACACTTGCCAACACTTAATGCCCTCTGGATTTTTTTATTATATGGTTTTGATGTGCATTTCTGTAATGGCTGATGATGTTGAGCATTTTTATGTGCTTATGGGCCATTTCTTCTTTAGAGAAATATTTTTTCAGATTATTTGCCCATTTAAAAATTTTGGTTATTTGTCTTTTATTATTGAGTTTTAAGGGTTCTTTATATATTTTGAATATAAGTCCCTTATCAGATACATGATTTCCAAATATTTTGTTTTATGTTTTGTGTTTTTACTGTCTTGATGGTGTCCTTTATAGCACAAAAGTTTTTAATTTTGATAAAGTCCAGTGTATCCATTTTCTCTTTGGTTTATTGTGCTACAAGTGTTATAACCGTTACTTAGTTAAAGGTCACAAAGATTCACTCTTACGGGTTTTTCCTAAGAGTTTTATCGCATTACCTCTTATATTTAGTCCTTTGATCTGCTTTGAATTAATTTCTATATATGTTGTGAGGATGACAATGCAACTTCATTTTTTTTTTTTTTTGCATATGAATATCCACTTGTCCCATAAACCATTTGTTAAAAAGACTATTCTTTCCCTCCGTTGAATTGTCTTGGTACCCTTGCCAAAATCAGTTGACCATTAATGTAAGCATTTACTTCTGGACTGTCAATTCAATTCCATTAGTCATTATTTCTATTCTTGTGCTAGTATCATATTGTCTTGATTACTGTAGCTTTGTATTAAGTTTGGAAATTATTGTTTTTCCAACTGGCGTGTACTCTATAAAAAATTGTAAGCAATGCAGAAAAGTTCAAAGAATGTGAAACATTACTCAAAATCCCACCACCCAGAAATACCTATAATTAATCTTATGTGAATAACATTCCAGAAATCATACTATTTATCTTTGTGTCTGTATGTTATATATGATGTACATACATGTATCTGTGTATGTATATGTGGTAAATGCGTGTGTACAGGCATAGATGTCACTGGGCAGAAATAATTTTATAAAAATAGGATTATATGTGCGTTTTAATGAAATGTTTTAAATTTTCTTTTACTTGAATTTAATGAGTGAAAAGGCAACTAAAGTGGAGATAACTTCCCAAACTTAAGATAAATGTAAGAAAGTTCATTTTCTAAAACAATCTTCTATGGTTAAGAAACATTATTATAAAATAATTAAGAGGTTCAAATTATTTTTTCCCTTTTCCTATATATTTTATTTTTAGAAAACAACAGTTTATTCACTACTGTAAAAGATGAGGAGTTGGCCGGGCATGGTAGCACATGCCTGTAATCCCAGCACTTTGGGAGGCCAAGGCAGGTGGATTGCAAGGTCAGGAGTTCGGGATCAGCCTGGCCAACATGGCAAAACCCATCTCTACTAAAAATACAAAAAGTAGCTGGGTGTGGTGGTGCACACCTGTAATCTTAGCTACTCAGGAGGCTGAGTCAGGAGAATAGTTTGAACCCAGGAGGCGGAGGTTGCAGTGAGCTGAGATCGCGCCACTGCACTCCAGCCTGGGACAGAGTAAGACTTAGTCTCAAAAATGAAACAAAACAAAAAAAAAGATGAGGAATTAAATGGTTGTGTACTTTAACTACTTTCCCCTTAATTCTACATTTTTCTTAATTATTATTCTTATATATTAAGGTATATTTCATTTACAAAATGTACTATAATTTTCGCAGTTGTGTAAACTTGGATTGTTAGAAGGTGTCACTTTTTACCACCAGTTATTTTACCTTTTTTTTTTTAAATGACTATTTTATTTTGATTCAGCTCTTTGCTGGCTGAATTTCATTATCAAATTTGTGTTCAAGTTGCAGACTCACGCTCTATGATTTCTGAGTTCTAACTGATTAAGAATGCTTGCCTGTTGTCTTTATATTTGAATTATAAACTGACTGGATGTAATATTCTTGGGTCACGTTTTGATGCCCTTACAACGTTTAGATGTCGCTCAGCTGCTTTCTGGCATTAAATC